CCAATCCAAGTTTGTATGTGAAGTAATCACCATCGAAATTCCATCCTCACTTCCGCCGACAGTGGGATCCAGTGGTCATATGAGTGAGCGGTGCGTACGTATCTCACCATCAGTCGTAGTGGGTCAGGGAATAACGCTTGTATGGAGGAGGAGAGGAGGAGAGGAATCCCACAATCCGACAGTTATCCTTATAGAGGCACTCTTTGCCGTAGACTGACGCGGAACATAGTTCTCCAAGCCGATGTCGAAACTGAGGAACTGGCCCGATTCAGATGGAGAAGCGATCTTTGTCTGTGTACAACAAAAAATCCCTGGAGTCCCGAAAGTGAACGACAAATCTGTCTGCAAATGTAGTCTGGATTCGTAAAGAATCAGCAAGTCTTCCAGGTATACGAGGCATCGCACGCCCAAATTTGCGGATGTGTGCCCTCACTGGTTACAGTAGGTTCGCGAGCACCACGGAGTCGTAAACTGCCGTGTTTGTCCTCACCATCGGGATCGGAGGAAAACTTCGGCAGTCCAGGGCAACGGGTACCGACAAGCGTGCGTCCTTGAGGTCTAGATGTGTAAACCAGTCGTTATCGCCTAGGAGGTCTTGTAGAAGACGAATTTCCTCCATCTTGCAGCATTTTTATACCATGTAGGAGTTCCATTGATGTAGTCTCCTGGCTTCTTCTTGACCAGGAAAAATTTGTTGGGGAAGCCTTCCCCTCCGTTGCGTGTTGAATTGCGCACCTCCTGAAGAGGGTGCAGATTTTCTTGTCCACGAGGCGTTCCTGTTCCGCCAGCGTGCGTAATGGAGGTGAAGGGGCGACCTGTACGGCTGTGATAAAACTCTATGACATAACCTTGTACTGTCTGGAGAACCCAGGTGACTTTGGTAGTCGTCTCCCAATTCTGTAAAACAGAGACAGGTTGCCGGTCATAATATTGGAAACAGTTAGTTATGTAGGTTGACACACTAGTAGATGAAGCGGATGGGTTCAGACTTGTTTTAGCGAGGTCTGGGTTTAGTGTGGTGAATAAATTCACGTGTTTTTTGAGTACTGCAATGAACACTACGTCGAATAGTAGGCCTTGTGCTTTTGGGCCGAATACTTGTCGTTCCTAGGTCCAATAGTGTGTTGTCGATGCGGCCCAGTACAGATTTGCGTCTGTCGGCGCATAGTGCGTCATTTACGTTGCCCAGGAGGCATATCGAGCATTGAGACCATTCTTTGGAGGTGGTAGGGTTGAGTTGTGTACCCTGGGGCAACTCGGTCTTGAGGCGTGCGCATCCTTCCATCCCCCGAGGGTTGTGCAGCCAATAGTGTTCGTCCAGGAACGTTCCGTCTTCGGCTACTCTGGTTTAGTGCCGCTACAGTTATCTCTGCCTCAGCCGCCGTCACAGAGTAAGGTTTCCCTAACGTACTTCGAGGAAGTGTGGGGAAGGTCTTGCCGTTCCATTTCCTCAGACGGTGAGCTGTCTTCGTGTCGCTCATCTACCATGTCCAAAGTACGTGGTGGGTAATAGTCTTTTTTGTCGGAAGATTGTGGCGGACGGGGTTTGGATTCCCGGTGTTCCGCCTATTTGGTCTGTTCGATGGGCATCTTGCCCTTGACCTTAGTGGCAGGGGGGCTGGAGCCCTTCCCTTGCCGTTTTGACTTGAAGGCTTGTGGGCCTGAGGTCTCCATCAAGCGGTGTGGGGTAGAGTTCATAACAGAACCTTCTCCACTGAGGCCGTTACTGTGGCGTTTATCATTGTCTCGAAATCTTGGGAACGTTGAGAGTGTCCACCATGACTCGTTCCCGTCCTGTTGGGAGATAGTGTGGGGGTCAGCACGTAGGGGTGTTAGACTCCTGGTAGAACTGGGGATCACCCAGGTAAAAAGAGGGGTCACCTCTATTAGTTTAATCTGGCTACTGAGAGCCGTGGTGCAGGCGCGACTGCCTGGTAGTGGTGTCGGTCTGGCTAGCCGGGTTCACCACAAATGTACGCCAGAGCTGTATGCAGGGTTTTAACTACACAGGCTTACTATATAGGTGCATGGGGCCTGTCTCCATAAGGTCTGCAGCCGCAGGACCCATGTCTATTAGGCTGGGTTCATCCCAGGTGGTGTGCCATGGTAACCCAGAGGACACCCATATTATACTTATTGGCACCTTACAAGCATTGCATGCATATCTGGGAGTCATCCCAGGTGGTGTGTCATGAAAAATTACCCAGAGGACACCCACGTTCCATATGTACACTAGGCACAGAAAATATACATATATGTATCCCTGTGAAGGTTACACCGCAATACACTCAATTTTCTTAGTGATCCTGCCATCAAATCGCATCCGGCATGGTACTGTTGCTTTAATGTAAAACTGACAGGCAGTGTTTAACCCCTTAAAGACACATGAGATGTGCGACATGTCATGATTCCCTTTTATTCCAAAGTTAAACATCCATAGTTAAGGGTTAAACATCCATATATGTCTGTAGTAATCAGTGGTAAAGTTGAGGCGTAGGCCTCCATGCATATGATCGGGGTTCACCCCGGGTGGTGTGCCATGGTAACCCAGAGGACACCCACATCAAAGGTAATGGTCTGTCAGTGACCTTGCATGCATATCTGGGGGGTCACCCCAGGTGGTGTGCCATGGTAACCCAGAGGACACCCACATCAAAGGTAATGGTCTGTCAGTGACCTTGCATGCATATCTGGGGGGTCACCCCAGGTGGTGTGCCATGGTAACCCAGAGGACACCCACATCAAAGGTAATGGTCTGTCAGTGACCTTGCATGCATATCTGGGGGGTCACCCCAGGTGGTGTGCCATGAAAAAATACCCAGAGGACACCCACATAAATTTGCACCGTCAGGTACAGTAATATAATATGACCCTCTGTAGGGTACAATAATATAATATAATATGCCCTTTGTAGGGTACAGTAACATAATATGCCCTTCGTAGAGTACAGTGATATAGTTGATCTTGATATAGGTACAGTATATGTTTTGTATAACGACTGTGATATTGTATGGCTTCACAATAATACATAGATTGTGTGCCTGCTCATGAGAATAAAAAATAATAATTGTATATAATTTTTTGCCAGTATGCCGTCTGATCCTGAGGAGATTATAACCATGTATAGTATAACCCTAATTGGGGTATAGTAGCTGATATGACCCTAAGCAGGGCCTAGAGACATAAAGGTCTGAAGCTGGCAAAAAAGGGGGGAATGTTTGTCTCTTTAATGCATGCATTTATAATAGATAGGCAGCACAGCAGGCAGGCACTGGGCAAATATATATATAGAAAGGCAAAAATCCACTGTAACCTAATACCCTCCCTTAGTACATACTAGGGAGGGTATAAAGATGTGGAGCCCAGCGGTCGGGTGAGTTACCGATCCGCCGGGCAAGCGGGGAAGGCGGCCGTCCGGTATCTCGCGAGCCGCGAGATCCAAGATGGCCGCTGCCCGCGTGTGAAGTAGCGCCGCGATCGACCGCTCGGCGCCGGAATGACGAGGGAACGCAGTTCCCAGTCCCCCTCCACCCGTCCCCTTGCCGGCCCCACAAAAGGAAAAACGTTAGCCGGCCCGCGGCGCGCGGCACTGACAGCCGTTGCTCGCGGGTACCGGTAGTGAAAAGCAATAGGGGCCCAAAAGAAAACTGCAGGGACAGGGAGAAGGGAACAGCGAAAGTAAAAACTAAATAAATAAATTAATTAAATGAAATAAGTAAATGAAATAAATAAATTAGCTAAATAAATAAATTAACTTAGGTAAATAAATTAACTTAGGTAAAAATAGAACAATACCATCCAAAATACAGAGAAACAAACAATATATGTAAGCAATTGCCAGGGAGGCAAAATACTCTGACCTGATGTTGGCTGGAGCAGCAAAGAAAGAGGAAGTGATGTCATAGACAGGGCCTTTTATGGGCATTATATCTTTTTTCTGATTGGTTGTTTATGTTACTATGCTGCTGGAGTTTTGAGTAAAGAAAGATATGCAAATATGAAGCCTCCTGTCATGTGGTAAAATTAAGGCAAGGTTTTTAAATTCACCATAATACACCTCCATACATTGTTTAGTGAATAAAGCATAGTGTAGAAGGTACGTTGGAATGTATCTATGTTGCTTCAAGTATTAGAAAAAAATCTTAAAATTGAACAGGGTTACCAGGGCAAAGTAGATGGCATGAGGCTGCAGTGGAGGAGCCCTGGTAACGAGGTAAGTAGTCTCTATTGAACTTAACTTTTACAGAGCAAATGGATTAGACAATCATCACATCAATAGAAGAGAACCTATAGTCCCCCAAAAAATGATTATTATTTTCAAGAAGGTAGGTTTACTTTAATTATGATCTTTATTAAGTCAAAGAAAAATAAACATAATTTGAAATGTCTTTACATTTTTGCATGTTTACCACACAAAAACGTATTCAAGGAACTGAATGTAAACTGTATAAGTTCCAATAAGGGCATTCACTATATATATATATATATATATATATATATATATATATATATATATATATATATATATATATATATCAATGAGTCAGTATATATATATATATATATATATATATAGCATTGCAAGATAAATTTGCTAGTTGCTTGTGCAAAAATTAAGAAATTAAATTAGAGGCGGGAATGGATCACATTCAAGGCTACTCTTTAATATGTAACTTAATATGAGATTATAATAGTTTTCACAATTTATATATATAGGATGTTCAACTCAATTGCTCTACTGGAGATTCAATGGGGTACTTCAGAAATAATCTCTAGGAGCAGACTAAGCATATCTGAGATCCAGTCAGAGAGGTCATTTTTCACAAATGACCAAACAACTAAAAAGGTCAAGGTTCTACACATGCCCAGCATCTCTCAACAATTTGCTCAGACAGCCATCATTCATTATCAGTAATGTAGATACCGTAAGATGTGCCGTGTTGTGACAATGTAGTATTGTGTGATGTATCTTTAGTTACGATTTATAATGGAAATGATGGCAGTTAGTACTTCCATCAGGGAAACAGTGTCAACAGTGTACTGGTTTACCACTGGAATATAAATATATATATATATATATATATATAGATAATTACATATTATATGGTAAACCAGTACACTGTTGACACTGTTTCCCTGATGGAAGTACTAACTGCCATCATTTCCAGTGGTAAGTGTGTGTATATATATATATATATATATATATATATTATTATTTTTTTTTATTATATCTACAATTTTCTGCTGCGCTACTGCTCTATGTGCCCTTATTGACAAGTCAATACTGGTCAGATATTTTTTTTATTGATTTTCTTTTTTAAGAAATCTAAACAGGGACAAGTAGAGCACACAAACACATTTAAACAAATTGACTTGAATGCATTCATTTAGTGTTACGGAAAAGTAATTTATATGTCCTTCTTGTATCATATGTTTAAATTAATAGTAATGATATACTATAGTAGTGTCTTATTCAGACTTATAAAATGGACAGCTGTGTGTCCATAATGCTTCATTAATTATGCATCAATCTATGCAACTATTATAGAACCATTCAAACATTTTAACATGCCTTTGCCCTAAAGACACAGGGCATAACCTCTAATGTACACATTGTAATAAAATTAGCTGATTTGCACAAATTAATACAACGCACTATATTGAATTCAGTGCCAATGTGGAGGTTATGTAACTGAACATATTATGATTTAAAAAGCCATACAGGTTTTTAAAAAAAATGTTTTTTCTTCAAATTTAAGTTTTTAAAAGTATCTCATTAAAATAGCAATCACAATGAAAAATCCAGAAAGAGTAGATTGAAGAAACAGTAGAAAGCTGTGCGTCAACAATAAGACATAGAAGAATGTCCGTATCTCTGGCCTGGGTAGAAAATGGATATCTACATAAGATCCAACAGTCTTTAATCGTCTGAAAAAAGTTGCACGGGTTTTCTCACTAAACTCTGATTCATAGTGAATTCAAATTTAAATGGCCAATTCCAGTTAAAATACCTAAGCTGTGCATGTTGGAGAAATTTTCTAGATCAGCCATTGCTACCTAATTTTTCCCATTAGGATTTTAATTAGCCAAAGTTAGGAGTTCAGTGGAAAACCCTGAAAGCATGTAATAAAGAATACCTGTGGATTATCTCATGGAAAAATAAACTCTGCAATTTATTACCTATAGGATTTCCCCTGCCTCCCCCATTTTTAAGGACCTGGAGGTTCAACACGTTAGGAAGTTCTGCTAGACCTATTTATTTCCCATTTTTGCTTCGGTACCTAATAAACTTCAGCTTGATTTTTTTGAGAGCTTTCTGTGGCCTTATAAGCCAGGGTTTTCCGCAGCCCCTGTGACAAAGACCAGGAGGACTATTTAAGACACTTCGTTAATGAATAGGAGTTGAAAAATAGATTTTATAGGAGTCTTTTTTTCCCCAGAAGAATGAGAGATTACGACAATCACAGAAAAGCATAAAACATATCAGGTACATTGTTAGTGTTCTCTCCCTGAGCTATAAGATGACTAATGGAAGTCTATAAAACTACAGGTCACAGAATCACAGTTACTCTTGCCAGTAGAAAGTTGGACGAGAGCAGCAAATACCATGCTGATATCACACAAGAACCTCCTGCTCCTACATATACTGTGAAAGTGCTAGTTTTAAAACTGGATGGTTTCTTTTCTATATTGCGACACTTTATTTCTATCTTGCCATATAAAGAGTTTAATAGAAAGGATATTGTCTCAGATCGTTTATTAAGCTGCTCTGTCACTTTTAGGTGTCTTTGCTTATTTTACAAAGTCCCCAGATAATGGGGAGCAGAGGAAGGTAGTTTTTACTTAGCTGAACCTGTCCCTCACAGGCACCACCATCTTCTTCTGTGAGGACCTTTCCAACTCCTGGTGCTTCATCTGCCAGGATCTGACATCAACGCTGTACTCTCACGAACACACAAAAGTACAGCACTTATGCTGATGGACGATCCGGTGAGATAAACTCCATTGATATATCCTTTAACCCCTCGGGCGTCATTTAGGATTGACAAAAGGTAGTTGTGTAGTTTGTCAAGTTTTGTTAAGCATAGGAAAAATACATAAGACAAAGTAGTCCCTAATTTGTCTATTGATATCTTTTTACTGGGTTGAAATTTTAGGTTTATGAAATGCTATGAGCTTTCAGTGATATCTTATAGAAAAAAATGATTCATTTTGACAAGAAAATATAACAAATAGAGCGTTCAATAATAACAAACAAAACTTTCAGATTTACAGAATTGAAATTATTTTCTATGTCCTTATCATCAGCCCTTATAATCAGCCAAAAAACGTACTTGCCGTAGACAGACAGATGGACAGATTTACACAACGCTCTTGCTCCTGTGAAAAAAAATATACCTATCCTTGGGTACCTTGTGAAGCGAGCTAGAAACACAAAGTGCAGTAAGTATTACTGCAGAGAGCAGAGAAGAGGTGGCAGACATATTTTAATAAACCTCACATTATTTTAAATATAAAAGAATGCAAAGTAATGAGACAGATGAGGTGTATCATAATAGATGGAGATTCTTTCTCTAATTTAATTCAAATAGCATTACTTCTTAAGCAATGTGTCTGCATAAAATAAAGATCTGTGCTAAATTTAAATGGCAAAGTTTTCTCTTATGCTTTAGATGTAAAATAACTAAGACAAGAATACATTTTATTTACTTGAATTATTTGTGCAAGTTAAGAAAAAAAATGCTTTATTCTTAGTGAGGATCAAAAAGCACATGGTGTTAACTGGCTCATTAGAGTAGTAATGCAAATTAGCATAGCTTGTTAAAGATCTTCTGGAGAATTTCTAATTGTAACTTCTATATTGTCTAAAATACAAATTAAAACACCAATGGTAGTATTGTCCTAGAGATGTATCAAAGTTCAAGACATTAATATTATAGAATGATTACCTTAAAGGAACACAATACATAGTTATACATAGCTGGAATACACACGTGTATTCCTAACGCTACAGTGTTCTCATTAATGTGTAGATTAGTGGGTGCCCTAAACTAAATTTAAAAGGGAAAAAGGTGTTCATTTACCTTTTTCTAGCACAGAGTTAGACTCCATCCAGCCACCTACTCCTCCTCCTGCGACATCATCTGGCAGGCATTGCTTCTTCATCTTCTCACCCAATCCAATGCTCACCCTAGAGGGGCATTTGGGAAGAGAAGTGCATGCGCAGCAAGCACACTGCTCCTGCAAATCAAATTCTTTCTATGAGAAGTAGTCAGAGGAGGTGAGGAGTGAGAACCATGTCAGGAAGACAGCCATTAGAGGTGGGGCTATAGTAATAAAGTTTCGGCTCCCCTGAGCCTTTGTCAAGCCGAAACTTTGATGTATTTTATTCTGCACTCCAAATAAAGACTGCCTATCAAAAAAGCCTCCAGGTGTGCCCAGACCACTTTTTCATCACTATATTCTGTGTGGGACATTAGTCCACCTTGTTTGGAGCACCATGCTGATAGTATTCCGTGGATAATTAATGTATGCCATATTCTCTTAATCTTTACAAAATACTAGAGGTGTGGCTGTCAGGAAGACCACTACTAGAGGTGTGTTTAGCCCTGCAATGAAACTACCAAACAGTAATGTTTTGCACTGCAGGGCTAAAATGACAGGGCACAGCACTCAGACCATTTCATTGAGATGAATAGGTCTAGGTCCCTATTTTGTCCACATTATATTCATTGTATAGCTGCTAAGATTAAGTACACTGTGGGCTGGCAGAAAGCTAAAAGCATGTCTGAACTATATTGCCAAAAACTGAACCCTATGAAGAGCCCTTTTATACTCTGAGGGTTACACAAAATAAACCTCAGGGATAGAAAAGGGTAAACTTTCTGGAAAAGTGTGGTCTGCCCAAGATGTAGGCAGAAATTTATGGGAACAATGAAGAGCTCATAAAATACCAAATACCTTCACACCATGAGCTTTGGTGCAGATGGCTTCTACTCCTTGAAATCTGAGTAATTTTATGTTTCTCCATTGCAATCCATAATGTGCCTATCCAGAGGCGTAACTAGAAACCACGGGGCCCCGGTGCGAAAATTGCCCTGGGGCCCCTCCCCATACATTCAGAGACCCAAACATACAGACATACATACAGAAACATGTAGAGACACACACACATACACTCATATACACACACTCAGACATATACACACATACACTCACAGACACACAAACACACTCACAGACACACACACACTCAGACACACACAATTGCCCTGGGGCCCCCCCATACATTTACCTCCTACCCCACACGTCCCCCGTCCCCCCCCCACACACACATGCAGACACATACATACAGAGACCCATACATACAGACATACAAACAGACACATGTAGAGACACACACATACACTCATATACACACACTCAGACATATACACACATGCACTCACAGACACACAAACACACTCACAGACACACAAACACACAAACACACTCACAGGCACACACACAGACACACATACACTTACAGACACACACACATACACATACACTCAGACACACACACTCACAGACAAACACATACACACACACACTCAGACACACAAACACTTACAGACACATACACACATACACTTACAGACACACACACACACACATACACTTACAGACACACACAATGTATTAATATAAAATGTCCACCCAGCCTCCCTACCTGGAGAGCTGGCGTGGATCTGTCCCTGGGGTCCAGTGGAGCTTCAGTGCGGTGGGTGGCAGAGTTCTTGTCAGATCCGGTGAGGGAAAAGAAAGAAGATTTCGTCTAAGGCAAAGGAAAGGTTTTTTTTACTGTAAGAACAATCAGAATGTGGAATTCTCTGCCTGAGGAAGTGGTTTTATCAGAGTCCATACAGATGTTCAAACGGCTACTAGATGCATACTTGCAAGAACAGAATATTCAAGGATATAATCTTTCAATGTAGGGTAATAACTGCTTGATCCAAGGATAAATCTGACTGCCATTCTGGGGTCAAGAAGGAATTTTTTTCCTAGCTTGTTGCAAAATTGTGCTTCAAACTGGGTTTTTTTGCCTTCTTTTGGATCAACAGCAAAAAACAAATGTGAGGTAGGCTGAACTTGATGGACGCAAGTCTCTTTTCA